TATTTTTTTTTTCCATATGTAAATATCTAAGGACTGTTCTTCTGATAAAGCAGGATGATCTAATCAATGTATTTAATAAAATGACAAGGTTAAAAAAATCATACAGTTTCTAGTAATAAATGTGTTATGCTTGTCAGCCAGAGAGAGGCTCCCACCTACTAGTTCTGTTTTCTAACGAGCTTTATGACTTACCTGCAATTACAGTTGTCATTCATCAGTCATCGCCAACTATAGGAGGTCTCCACTCATGCTGTTGCAGAAATTTATCCTATTTCAGTGCAAATCTAAATGTGCATGAAAATAAAAGCAAAATCAATATGGAAATAACATATCACCACAAATTATTATTCCTGGTAGTAACCACAGTGTGCAAAATTTGCTTTTAACTTTAAAGGAAGGATAATACCTACCCAAAATGTGCCGTAGTTAACGGAGGGAGAAGAACAGCAAGAAGTAAGAAGAGACCAGTGTGAATATCATATCCTGATAATATCATTTTAGTGGAAGTATTGTAATTATTTTAAGAACAAAAAGTAACAAATATTTAAATGGTCCATTAAAGGTGGAGAGGTTATAATTTGGAAAATAGTTTGAGATGAGATTTCATTTATTTATCTCTTTCTTGGGAGAGGAACTTTTTCCTCCTCCATTCCCCAACTTTTCTGGCAGTTTTTATTTAGTTGGAACCATCTTAGCATAAACCAAACCATTTCTGATGAAATCAAAGATGCACAGATTTTTATCCTACCAAGGATTATTAGATCATTTGGTTTGACCTCTTATACTGGCAAGACATTTACTTGTGACTTCTTTAACTGAGCACAGTGACATCTTTTGTGAAAGATATCCATTTCCAGATACAAGAAGGCAGACAATCTTTTTTTTTTTTCTTCTTTTAAATTAATCATAAGAGTGGTTAATCACTGTTACTGCTGAAAAAATGTTTATGTGGTATGAATTAACTGGAGGAGTGGGAAGTTTAAAGGATCTGTGGATCTTAAGCCTTTATAAACCTCTGCCTCCAAGAGTTTTCCTCCTGCTTTGGTTTCTCCTCCAGAGCTGTGGAACATCATGGCTTTTCCCTCTCTCTTCTGGAGGTTTCAGTTTAGCAATATGGGAAAAATAACTTGTGTCTTTCTCTACCCCTTTGAGTACCTTGCTGTTCCACTGTATTGTCTTGAGTTGATACTGTGCCCTTTTCACAAGACAAGGAATGTAGGGAAATGGGAGATTCACCCTCCTAAGGTCAGCCACACCTACATTGTCTGCATTCTGGCTTCACCTGCCTATGCTCCTTGTTTCTCTTCAGATATAGTCTGGCTTCAGCTTTCAGTCCTTGGCTTTTGGTGCATTTTCTGCATAAAAGCCCTATAGCACCTCTTAGGTTGTTTCCAGTTTTGGCAATTGAATATTTATTCTGGTATTTGTGTATCAAAAATCAAGATGTAGTGTTGTTGGAAACTCAATTTATTCCAATGTAGCATTCCAATTGCTGATTAAAAATATTTTAGGTAACACAGTGGTTTTTTAATCACAAGATATTAAAAATAGGTATCTTCGAATCTGTGAGAAGAATTTCTGTTAATTACTTTTATTTGAAAATGTGTAAGCTGGATGCAGGATGACTTACCACTGATGTTCTCATAACAGTCTGATTACCAATGGCAGGAAGGCGTCACCTTTCTAAAGGACTGGATTTTTTTTGTTTCTGATTAAATACACATTGGTTCTAAAATGGCCACTCAACCTCTCTCTACGCCTGTCTTGCCATAAATGTTTTCAAATTTGGTTTTATTAATAATCTAAACTAAACTTCCCTTTTAGTTTCTTAATTCTGTTTTCTGGTGTGAGTAACTCCGATTTGTTTCCATGTGTTTTTCAGTGTTAGGTGGAATGTATATGTTCTAGAAGTCTTTATAATCAGTTTGACAGGGAAATTTTTTTTTGTTTTCCTTTAAGTGTTTGTATCAAATATGGGGAAAATGACCACAAAGAAAAAAGTTTAGAATCTGTTTGAAGATGTAGGTAATAATAGATGAGGTATACAAATAGCTGGATGATCCCGGGGACAGGTGCTGAATTGGTCAGTTTGACTATATATTTGAGAACTTCTAACAGAGAAGATAAACATGGGCAGCAATGCTTCATTTGAAAATTTGGGAAGGAGAAAGTAATCTGACCTAAACTCCAAACATTTTTGATTTTTCCAGTCTATGGCTGTTAGGTGTGCTTTTCCCCCTGTATTGACTCCGTATGTTCTTTTGTAATCACTAGAGAACATATCATATTCATTAGTCAATATGCGTGCCTTATGTACATGCGGACTAATGGAGGTGTGCATTTACAGCAGGTATTTTGACCAGTGTCTGTTATATATATAAAACTTGGATATTATATTTACAATTTAATTAATTTTAGGAAAAAAGAGCTTTTAAAAAAAAATTTTAAAGTTTATCAACATCCTTTTAGTGTCACCATATGTAAAATACCATGCTTATTTTGCATCTTTGTGTTCTTCTCTTTCTACATATTTACATTTCTTTCATTCCAATAGACTTAAAAAAGTATCTTTCTTTCTATCTTCATAGCACTGTTTCATTCTCTTGAGCAAAATTTCATAGAACCTATTTACAGGTGTTCCTACAGCTTTGTCTATTGTGAGGAATGCAAATCTTTCAGATTTAATTCTTCCAGCTGTAAAGGCTAGACCTTCAGAAAGGGCAAGATGGATGATTTAGTGTCTAGAAAACCTGTCTTCAAATCAGACATATTTTACACTGAAAAATATGAAGAAGTGATTTTATAGCCCACACAGGAAGAAGGTTTTTGTCATTAAAGAGATATGTATCTGTCAGGTAAAGCTGAAAGTTTGCTCTATCAAAATTTAGACTAGAAATAATAAAATAATTAGTGAGAACAATTTCTCTTGAACCTTACCCTAGTAGAATATGATGAAGACTCATTTTAAATGTAGTTCATATATCTTTCTGAGCTTGTTGAAATAATTAACATGTTTTAGTGGTGACCAGTACTGCTTGGCTTATGCTATGCAGTAAAAGTGAACACAGATTCATTGCCTTCAATAGCCATACTGGTGAAATCTACTTCTAAAAGAAACTCCCGCAACAAAAATCCCCCAAATGACAAAAGAGAAACAGTTTCTTTATTTGACTCATTGTATAGCACCAAAAGGCATTGAAGCAATACGGCAGCGAGAAATGAGTGTGATCTGTAATGCCACTTTTCTTTTTAAGTGCAATTACTACTACTTTTTAACAGATTGGTTCTCTGAACAAACAAGGCCACAACTTGCAGCAACAAAATGAGAGTAGTGCAGTAGTGGGAATGAGCAGCAGGAGGTGTAAATTCAGTGCTATACTACTGCTGTGGATTAAGCATTGTGGAACAAGTAATCTAAGATTCAGAATTAGGATTTAAATGTGTATACAGTCTTCATTGTTTGATTATAGCATTACATTAAGAAGAGAAATTCTATGGGTATGGTATAGAGTAAGTTGACCTTACTATGATGATGTTTTCAGCTTGTAGTTTTTATCATGCGGCATGCTTTAAAAATTTGATCTTTCCTGTGTGATTGAATACTTTCACCTCATAGTATTTTCCACTGAAGCAAGAAGAAATCAGAATATTGAAAACCCACATTATTGCCACATAAGAGTGTTTTCTTACATAGCAATATGTATTTTTAATAATGTACTTTTTATATAAAGGCTTGTATAGCTGATGTTCAATGGTTGTAAGAGAAAAACGAGAAGTGATTCCTCACAGTTATTACAATATAATACTTGTCAGTTGCCTTGTAAAAAAAGGGAGAGGCTAATTTTATATGTACACTAAATTCAAATATCAACTGTACTTTTTTTCAGTTTCTGCTATACAGAGGGTGAATTCAGCCAATATTGATAAATTATGCCATTAAAATTATGGATAGTACTGTGATATTTGAGGTAGGATAAGGAGACTCATTAAAAAGTGTCTACACGGAGAATGATAAGTGTTGTTAAAAGTATAAATGGTGGTTTCCATTGCTTTCATTTTGGCCATTTAAAGTAGCTAATTAATTCCATGCCTTTTCCTACTGCATATCTCATTGTCTCTGTCATTTTCATTGTTATTTTTGCTCTTCTAGCTCCCTAGTTAAATTACAGTTAGGTTCTAATTTTTTCTTTAATGCTGTCATTATCAAGATGATAAAATATCAATTGGTATTAAAAAAGAAAAGAATGGGAATGGATCTGAGAGTATTTGTACATTTGCATTTGAAGAAATACTACCTTGTATTTCAGTAGTGCTGTGTTTTCCTTTTAAAAGGCAAAATTATTGTGAACAAATCTGCTTTTCCAAAGGCTGGATCCTGCAGTCTGTATAACTCCTGACTTTCCATTTACTTCGACAGCTGGCGATATTCAAAGGGTGCTGACAGCAGTAAAGGTGATGTCCTGTCCCAGTGAAGCTAATGGTGGAAAGCCTATTGAATTATTTGGGTTTGGGATTTGATTCTGTGATTCCAGAGAGCTGAAGTTTTGTTTCTAATTCAATTCTTGTTGCAAGCTTGCATGTCTTTTTCTGATATGGCTGAAGGGAAAACATATGGAGGCCTTTCTTAAAATTCTGGTCAGGGATTTATTTATTTTTTTATTTTATTAATGATATCTTTGTTCAATCAGATAATTTTTTTGTTGTTTCAGTGCAGCTCATGAGTAATCTACTCATTTACTTTCCTGAGCAGGTTGGAAGGTAAAATGGACTTTGGGGCTGTGGTCCTGCAGTATTTATGCAAGCAAAATGCCTTTCTGACCTCATTGGGGAGCTTTGGGTTCACTGGGACTCTGAAATGAGGCCTTTTAGTAGAACATATGCCCCAGCCAGGAGTAAAGCAAGCATTTCTATTGATCTGTAAGCAATCTGTCAAAACTTCTCTGATCAGCCTTTTTTACTATCTCGTCTTGAGTCCTTTTTTTAATGACATCTATTATCAGATTGAAATGGCGATTGAGACACTGCAAAAGTCTGATGGTCTGTCCACTCACAGAAGCTCTCTTCTCAACAGCCATGTAAGTTGTCTCTTCTTCACATACACTCTCTCTTGCTTGTTCTGCATGCTTAGCCTGCCTCTAAATGTTTGTTTTATTTTATTACTACTTTTTGCTCTTAATCTTCTCATCTTAGTTGCTTGTAATCTTCTACTACATCTCCCATGGCTTTATTTTGTCAGATTAAATGTCTTTATGGTAATTTGCAGAGTGTTACCTGTTTCCTATGCTCTACACCTGTGTTAAGACAAGTTAACACATTTGACTGTTTTGCGGATTATAGGGTAAATGTCAAGATAACATTCAAATAATTCTAAATTAGCTAGCTTTTGATATTTTAAATAAAGTTGTCTGTAAAGCTAAGTCTGTGTACCCTGTATTAATTTCAGGGCATGTGAAGAGGAAGAGAAGAAACAAACAGCATACCTAAATAATATGTTTAGATTATTTTTAGGTGTTTCTTCATTTATTCTGAATAGAGAGTTTATTATGAAGTTACTTACTTAGGAATTCTAAAGATCCTTATGATGACCTGGAAAAAAAATGAAAGCATTATCTTAATTTGAAGTACACAAAAATGTCTTATTCAGTAGCCTTTTGCTTTGTTCTTACTCTGCAAATCTTAGAGTTAAGAACTTTCCCTGTACAAAGTTAAAAGATATTTGGGTAAAAATATGATCTCAAAATATAGTGAGAAATCCATTTTATGTAACATTAAAATAAAGAAAAAAGACCCAAAGTTAATTTTGAACTGATTGTATAAATAATAATATTGCTTTGTAAGTTGATAGTCTTTCTTGAAATGTTTTTGTTCTGTTGGTATTTGTGGGTTTGTATTTTTGCCATGTTGGTTAGTTTGTATTCATCTTACCTCTTTTCCTTCTCAGCTTTACTAATTATATAAATTCAAATTCCTTTATTGTTTTACAGAAGAAATTTAAATTTGGTTTGTGGTCTTATTGTAAGAATGTGGTGGTAGAGGCTGTCCCTCAGAAGTCAAATTAAAAATATATGTTTTAGCAGGTTTGTGTTTGGATTTTGGATTTTTTCTGTATGACTCTGGTTATGTCAAAGTCAAAACTAGAATTGTTTTGTGGAAATTTTAAGCAAACTTTTTTTTTCTTCAGAAAATGCCAAAATTGAAAGAGAAAAATCATATTACAAAAAGCTATACCAAATGTTACACAGAAGGACTTCTAGATTCCACCTTGGATATTTGCAAAATAATTGCTTTGAAGATAAGACAGCATCAAAATTATTACTTAAATGAAAAAAGATAGTATTACACAGTTAATAAAAAATTATTGTTTAAATGTAATTTTTTAAGGGACCATAACTTTTGGGGGCAAAGTTTCAGAAATTTTTATGGAGGCTTGAAATACTTGGACTGTTGATAAGTTTGTGTTTGATCCTATTATGCAGTCCAGAGTCTTGGTATAAAACCAAGAAGAATTACAAGATATGCTGCTGTTTTCCAGCCATTCCTGGTGCTATGTGCTGTTTGCAATGTGTTCCTAATAATGAGATTCACATCCAACTGTAAAGCCTTACCATGATATTTCTTCCTTGATTGTGAAGGCTTTATCAAAATTATGCTGATAGGGATATATCTTTGACTCTGGGGGGGTGGGGGGTGGGGAAAGATCACAGTACATATTTTTGTGGTTAGTCTTTCCTAACCTTTGTCATTTTGGAAGAAGTTAACAATCTAGATCAAACTTATTAAATGTTTTGCGTATTTTAAAAGCAATGCTTTTTGTCTCTAAACTCAAGTAAGGACAGCATGGAGGAAGTTTAAATAAAGGTTTAGTCATGTATATTTAAACTGTTCTTAATTTTGACTTCTTATGCTTTGGTTTGGCATTTATTTAAATAATTTGGTTTAATAGGTTTTAAAATAGAATTCTAAATTGTGTGTTTAATTAACTTGCACTTTGCAGATGATAGATTAATTTAGTGGGAAAATACTCATTTTGAGATTGGGATTTTTGCCCTGTGATACCTCTATCAGGTTTTCTAGGATTTTTTTTTTTTTTGCCTAAATTCATATGTGCTTATTTTAAGGAATTTGTAATTTCTCCTCTGTTTTCTTTTCTTTCCTGATTTATTTGTCTATGAGATTGACTTATTTAATTAATTGATAGTTGAATGTTTTATAAACATTTCAGCGGAATTGGAGTCACAGTCAATTTAACAGGTCTGACTCTGTAAATATTTCATACCTTTACCCATATTACCCATACAGTATGGTCAGTACTACAAATTAAAAAGCCAGGATTCAAACCTGAAAAGCTCATCTTGGTAGAAAAATGTTTTTTTAATGGTTTTTACAATACTATTATAACGTTTGGAGATAATTTTCCTTCTAAAATCATGTATTAACTGCACTTTTTCTTCCAGGCTATAATCTAGCAAGTAACGACTTCGAGCCTTTGCTACTGAGTAACTCCACCCAGGATCAAAAATTCTTATCTTTTGTTTTCTTTTCTTTGGTGCTGAATGATGCAAGTTATGGGTGAAATAACATCTGTTAGAAATTCATATCATTAATGAAGTGTACTTAAAGTGATTCATAATAGGTTAGAAGCCATCTGGAGGAAAATATATTTAATGCTACATACAGAACTTAATTGGAAAATAATTATTTCTTGTTTGTCAGTCTCTTGGAATTGACAAAGTTTTTGCCTTTGGGGAAAACAGAAATACTTCACATTCTGCATCTGTACTGATTAAATTATAGTTTTAATAATACATGAAAAATGTTATATAAATGTATATAATGTAAATATAGATGTAATAATGGATTTTAAATAGAGATAAAATGCAACGGTTGAAAGATATAATTACCTTTATTTCTAAGCCCAGACAGGCTTATGGCAGGTCATTAGTGAAATAAGTTTAATACATTCAGGTAAAAGTTAATGTTTACAATTACACATTTTCTTCAGCTTTATTTCAAAATCACAGATGCTCAATTTGGAAGCACTTGTGAATGTTAAGACTTTTAAAATAATAGGATAACTGATATAAAGATAATGAAATATACTTTTTCGTTTCGTCTATTTGAAATGCAAAATTACCTGCAAACATAGCTAAAATTTTTTTGTCTTAGAAGCATATACATCTTTTGTATATTTTTCTAAAGTATATGTTCAAGAAACATGGAAAAGTTATGGGCATGTTTTCAATAAAAAGCAAATAGTTTGAATGGTCTAGAATAAGTTTTCTGGTAATGTTTTTGTATTTGTATTGGTGAATTTCTCATTGTGACTAAAACAGCTATAAATTCAATATATTTTTATCATTTGTACTTTAGTGCGTAACAGTTTTGCAATAAAAGTCAGGACTGAAACATTTCATGGCTATTGCACACTAAAATATTCATGTTCTTTGCATGATAAGTTACACTGAACATTAATGGAACAGAATTTGTGCACTGCTCTAACAGACAATAATTCTGCAAAGGAATAAATAACCCATAGACCATATATATCTTCTATTGTTGCTTAATAATTTGTGTTTTGGTTATATTAGTTACTGCTTTGCTGGACTAAATTGAAAATTATTACAAATCTGTGTGACTGTCTAGCTCATCAGAGTAAAAATTTGTAGCAAGTCTTGAAGACATAATGTCCTCAGTTTGCATTTTCACTGGATAATCAAATTGAATCCAGAGTTTTGGTAAGATCTCTGATCCTAGCAAGCTTGAATATTCACACTGTCCTATTTTCGTATAAATACTTGGGAAAACAGAGAAATAAAATTTAAACAGAAAATCAAATTTGTGAATCATTCAAGCATCTAAAGGAAAATCTCAGGAAACTGAAACCATAGCAAGTACTGGGGAAAGATAAGGAAAATGTTAGCATATCAAAAAAGTAAACCAGTGGCATTTAAATGCATCCTCAATCTATATTATTTTTGATCTGTTTTGTCATTCTCCTATAGTGTTAAATCTAGAAGTGTTAAATTGTCCTTTTTATTATTTTGTACATTAGTGACAGCTAGAAGTATTTCATGAGTGTGCACTACTTGGATGTTACATAAAAAGTCTTTTCTTGTGTGTGTCTAAAATTACATACCACAATTACATGAAAAGATTAGTATTTTTCCAAGGATCTCATTCTGTTCCTCCTGGAAGTCAAAGGCAGACAGGCTACAACTGAAAGGGATTGTAATCCTAATGCTTTATAGATGTACCAGTTATTTTCAATGTTATCTAGGTTCCTCTTTGACTTATATGCAATAGCTTTTTTCTTACAGGTACCTGAGAATAAAAAATGTCATATTCAGTTAAGTGTTGCAATGTTTTTTAACATCAGGCAAAGAAAAGCAGTATAATATTCCAGGTTTACAAATATATTAACTAACTATTGTTAGTCCAAGGAGTTTGTTTTCTGCAATTTATGTGAATTACATTAATGATGATTTTATTTTTTGTGGTACTAACAGTTTGTCTCCAAAGCATAGATACCTTTATCAAGTATTGGTGTGTGGTACTGAATCAAAAATATTTTAAGAAGTGGACGCTTATCTGAGGTCACAAGTGCAATGAGTTCTGCTATTTCCTGGTAATGCTGAAGATCCTAAAGCACTATGCTATTGCTAGCAATTAAGGAATCTCTGAAGAAGGAAGTAATTGTTTAATAGACCTGAAGAGTGGTTTCAAAATTGTCATAAGTTAGTGAATGTTGTATGGCTAAGATATTTTTAATAAAGTAATAATGATTTTTTTTTCTGTTTTGCATGTGATATAGCTTCAATGGCTTTTAGACAACTATGAAACTGCAGAAGGAGTGAGCCTTCCAAGAAGCACGCTTTACAACCATTACTTACGACATTGTCAGGAACACAAGTTGGATCCAGTCAATGCTGCCTCCTTTGGAAAACTCATACGATCAATCTTCATGGGATTACGGACCAGGAGACTTGGAACTAGGTTTGTGTTAATGAAATCCTGAACTATAATAGAAAATGCCATTAATAATTATGAGTATGAAACTTGTCTACTAGTCAAAATAAATAAAACCTGTATTTAAATATTACTGTGGTTTTTTGTCAGTTCTGTCAATTAATATTAAACGCTTCTGTGCTTTTCCAGATGTTATTATCCTTTTACTTCTCCCGGTTTTGACTGTTCATGTGTTTACATTTTGATAAATACACTGCAGATTTTTATCAGTACAAATAATATGTAGCTTGTTGTTTGGAAATTACTAAGAATTGTGTTTCTCCATAACTGGAGAAGTTGTATTTATTTGCATTGTATTTTTCTTACTCAAGTGGATTAGAAGTTAAAATGCTGGATAATATTTTGTTTAACAGAGTGAACTAATTTCCCAAAGGTGGTAAAATGACACCCACGTGCAACAGGTATGACAGGAGAGTCAGGCCTGATTTGTGGGTATTGCTTTCCAGTCAATGTAAATTGTAAAGTAAATATAATGTAGATGTATAAAACTAGTGTTACTTTTCTTTTAATTCTTGCTCTTCCATAAAGGGGGAACTCAAAATATCATTACTATGGGATTCGTGTCAAGCCAGACTCTCCTCTTAATCGACTACAAGAAGACATGCAATATATGGCTATGAGACAACAGCCCATGCAGCAGAAACAGAGGTAAAGTGTGAAATGAACATGAGTACTTAATGTTTCTAGTTCATAAAGCCGTACTTTTCCTTACATGGAAAAGTTGGAATTCTAATACAACTTTCGTCTCTGCTGTGAAAAATAAAAGTTTGCTAGATATCCAGTTGATGTCACTGAAGTTAGGTATCAGTCAACATGAAATAATATTTACCTAGAAAATGTTATCTTTTTGAAAAAAGTAATAATAAAGTAAACCAGACTTTTCTTAACTATCTTGAGTTCTTATCCCACAAGCTGAAGAAAAGCACTAAAAGCTTAAATTTCAAATTTTGCTGTTTCTTTTTATTATTATATCATTTTACTTACAAGTAAGTAAAGAGAGAGCTTTTAAGAGAGCTTATGATTAAGTTCAGTTTGGTGTTTATTTCCTCTCCCTGTGAAGAATTAATGTGATCGTAATGGTTTGCCTGTAAGTTGATTTAAGTATTTTCCTTCAGCATCTGTTGATCCTAACAATCCTGTGAAAGCTCAGAAGTATTTGAAAGCAGTGGCATAGTGACCAGAAAGGGCTGTGCTGATGGTAAAAGAATGTATGAATATGCATATGAAAAAGTACGTTTCTTTGAAATTAATTTTTATTTGACTGATGTCACTAGCATCCCATATTACCCTAAAGTGAAATATCTAAGATGTGTAATTTCATGAAACTCATAGGTGGAACAACAGCATATCAAGCAAGACATCTTGAGAGCTATTATCCCCAAAAAATCCAATTGAATGAACAGTTTGGTATAGTGTACTAAGCATATTTTGTGACCTTGGACCTAACTGGGATATGGAAAACGCAACTTGAAACTTTAACTTCAAACACAGATATCACTTTAATCTGAAATGATTTTACTATCACTTCCAGAAGTAGTTACAGCACTAAATGTAATTCATGGTAAGATATGTGGTCTTAAGTAGCTCATGCTGGGCGTAATCCAGGAGCATGAGGTGTCTCCCAATATGATCATGTAGGAAATTCTTGTTACAAAAATCATTGCAGAATTATATGGTAAGAAAAGGTGATAGATATTTACAAAATCTCCAGGCAAGCTTATTTTACCCACTCAAGCTCAAACTCATAGATTTCATTTGCTCATACTCAAAATCATGTGTATGCAGCAAGACATACACCACAATGGTCTAACTAGAATTGTTTCTATGAAATTATTTCTGGAGAAATCATGCCAGTTATCTAATCATCATCACCTCCCTTGTTGTCTTCTTGATTCACAGTGACAAAGTGATTTTGAACTTGCATTATGTAACTCTTAGGAGTGGATACTACTTTTCTTTATTATTTGCTTTATTATTTTGTTTAACACCACCATATGTCTTACGTAGTTCCCTTATTTTCCTTATCTAGGAATGTTTGGTGGCATTTTCTTAACATTGTTATGGCAATTTGTTCCCTAATTGTATTTGAATGAAACCACACATATGGCATTGTGTGTCAGTTAGTGCATACCTTTCCTTTAGCCCATGTTTTGCATGTGCACACACATACATGCACAAGCACCCTCCCATTCATATTCATTTCATTCCAATCTTAAGCTCTGCTGCAAGAATATGTAAAGATATTGATGAAGGATGGGAACTACAAGGCACTGGATAATTATGCTGAATAGGTAGCTGTTACATGAAAAATACTGTGCTGTAGTAGAAAAACTGGTTGTGCATTATATTCAGTTGAGGCTAGTAGTAAGACGGTGGAGAATAGGAAAAGGAGAGAAGTGGAAGCCTCTATCACCTATCTGCAATACTGACGGCAGAAAAGACCACCATGTTGTTGTATCTTAATAACAATGGCTTTGTTATTAAGTCCTTAAAAGCAGCTGTCCCAATATACCTTCCTAGATGAAGCTTTATCTCTTTGCTCAGGAACTTGCATTATTTACCTTCTTGTCTTTTAAGACAAAAGACAGGCTGATCTCTTTACACTCTGGAAATGTTGTGATGTCCACTGAGGTAGAAGTAGAAGCATTGTTCACATAGTCTTAGTGGTGTACTATTCATACAAAGCAGTTCTGAGGATCTTTGGTCATCCCTTAGTTCAGGGTGCACAGATCTTCAGTAAAATGTTTTCTGTCTTTCCAAAATCCCAGCATCCTAAATAAATAAAATGAAGAGATCAAGGAGCTAGCCAGATTTTGACCAATTGCACTGTGAAAAGTGGATATTGTCTGTGCTCTGCATACCATCAAACATACTAGCAATACTGAATAGGATATAGAAATTTTCAGCATGAAGATGTTTATCCAACAAAATATAGGAAATTTTCATTGAAAAATGGAAACTCATGAGCCACTATTACTTATTTATTCATACGTCTCTAAACCTGAAAACTACAAAATTTTCTAATAAAACCAGGGATTTCTAAATGAAAGTACGATGATTCCAGAATATTTTTAACTCTTTGGAATGTCCTAATTATAATAATCATTTTAGAAAAAGATTTAACAAATATATTAAATTATTCCACAATCTAGGCTGTTTACTTCATCACAGCCACTCTTTAGCATGCAGAAAGCATGAGCTTTGGTTCATTCTTCTTTCTTTGTAGCCTTACTTTTTAATTTTAGGGTAGTCTTTGGTCATATGATGTCAAGCTTTATTTCACATTCTTGAAATAAAAATGTCTTTATATTTTGCTTGATTAATTTTAATGGAAACTGAGATATGCTTGTGTTTTGTAGCCCTCAGAAGCTAGGGTTTTTGGGGAAAAAAGAAATGCTAAATATAAAACCAGCTTGACTTAAAACTTCCAATGCACAATTTAAAAAGTCAACTTGTATTTTTGAAGTAAGATTTCTTCCACATTTACAGAACGTGCTAGCCAATGTGATGCCCATCTACAAGA